TTGCCTCTTTGGCCACCTTTTGGCCCTTTTTCTTGCATAAGAGCTTAGCCATATCTATGTTTGTTTTTAGGGTTTTTACAGTTCTGAAAAGTGGCTTATTTTTGGCCCCTCTTCAATGTTGTTGAAGGGCCCTAACCTATTTGGAGTTAGCAGCTGTGAGTTGCTTCATAACCTCATGTTTAGGGCCATTTTTGCATGCCATTGTTGCCCTATCCTTGCTTGCTGTTTGGCCAAGATTTGTACTGTAAAAATGCTTAGTTTGAGGCTGCCTTGCTTCTGTATTTTCATCTCATATACCAATTATGCATGCTTTGTATAGCTGTAGTTTATTCTATGTGCCTAATTTTGCATTTCAGGGGAGATTCCATGCATCGGGTGTACTTTCGCCTCATTTCGGGGCTGTTTTCCCCCACATTTCAGTGCTGAAATCCCATTAGCATGTTTGCATATCATTTTCCATGCTATTGCATTGCGTATGCCATTGCCTCGGTTTGCGTGCCAGTGTGCACGCATTTTGAGGCACTTCATTTTCATCCATCGGCCTCTTATGTGAGTGTGGCTGAGGCTCTCTCATGTTAGTATAAGTCCATGCTGCATTTTATATGCCGTTTTAGCCATATTGCATTGCGTATGCCATCGCCTCGGTTTGCGTGCCCGTGTGCACGCATTTCGAGGCATCTCATTTTCACAGCATAGTGCATACTAGGTTGTATCTTAGATCGCATTAATATATTTCCTCGGTTTGCGTGCCCGTGTGCATGCATTTTGAGGCATGTCATTCCATAGCATTGTGTATGTTAGGATTGTATCTTAGTTGCATTTCATGCATGTCATGCATATTGCATCGTGTTCGGAGTAAGAGTTAGCCCGGACACGGGAAACGAGGTGCATTTCGTACTCCGAGTGACGGAATGTGTCTCAATTCCCCAGTCACCGACACTCCGGATCATCCATGATGGAGTTAGGTTCTTGTTGTGTTTATACGTGCATTCATTCTATATTGAGTTATGCAATTCGACTCCTCGGCCATCATGTCTCGGTATGCGTGATTGGTGGCACGAGGATCGAGGCATGCATATATTTGTGAAAATACATTGCTATGCCCCTTTCCTGCTCTCTGTTGCAGCAAAATGAAGAATCAGTAACTTTTCGGGACTTGGCACGCGTTTCGAGAATAACTGCTAAACAGAGGCTAATTGGGGCATCCCGGTAGATTTCCGCGCAAGACAGCCCAGACATGCATCATCCATCAGAAGCAAGGCAGTCCCTGGCTTGCATGCCAGTTTTATTTATTTTCTTAGTTGATTTGTTAATTAATTAGGAATTTGTATATTATTCGGACTGTAATATTTGGACTGTAATATTCTTTTATTTGGGACTGTATATTTATTCGGACCCTCTGCGCGAGGGCACAACTGTAATAAGCGTGCGTGTGTGTGTTGTATGTCTTCCAACCCCACGTCTTTCTCCCTTTTATTTACCTGCTTATGATGGTTAGATTAGGGCATATTTCAATTAGCATACAGTATGACAGCATGTTTGCATCATTCATCTGTTTTGCATGCACCGGGCTCGGTGCATCATACTAACTGTATTGTACTTTCAATTCCAAATTGAATACATGATAGTTGTAGCATTTCACATGCCATGTTTAGAATAGCCGAGCCTGCTATAGTTGCATTTTGCACGTGCTGCATTAGGCATTTCTGTATACTTAGGATCATGCATGATTTCTAATGTAGTTTCTATTTTGGC